GGTGTACAAGGGTCCCAAGTGTAGTAACAATTCTGAGGATGGTGTACAAGGGTGTCAAGTGTAGTAACAATTCTGAGGAGGGTGTACAAGGGTCCCAAGCGTAGTAACAATTCTGAGGAGGGTGTACAAGGGTCTCTAGTGTAGTAACAATTCTGAGGAGGGTGTACAAGGGTCTCAAGTGTAGTAACAATTCTGAGGATGGTGTACAAGGGTCTCAGGTGTAGTAATAATTCTGAGGATGGTGTACAAGGGTCTCAAGTGTAGTAACAATTCTGAGGAGGGTGTACAAGGGTGTCAAGCGTAGTAACAATTCTGAGGATGTTGTATAAAGGTGTCAAGCGTAATAACAATTCTGAGGATGTGTGGTGTTTTGTTCTGTTGTTTATGGCATCAATGTGTTGGAACCGACAATCTCTCAACATCAGATTGCTCAAGTAGCCGAGAGTCTGAGGATCTGTTTGGGAACGTTGGTGGCACGGTGTTTACGCATTGTACTGTTAACCGCAAGGTCAGCAGTTCAAACCCACCAGCCAGTCCTCTCGAGAAAGGTGAAACTTTCTGCTCCCAAGATTGACAGCATCAGAAACCCTATTTAAGGTGACTATGAATCAGTATCAACTTGATGGCAGTGCGCTGGGTATTAAACCTGTGTTTAGAGACGTTGACTTTTACTCACGATTATTTTGCATTTTTATGTGTGTGTGTGTGTGTGTGTGTATTATAATTTTAAGCATGTATGGGAAGCCCACAGAGCCTGAGGGCTTTTTAGAGGATTTCTTTAGCATTTTTGCGTTGACTTCTACTAGGTATCTAGTGGTAGCACTCGCTTGCTTTTATGTTGTTTTTGCTTGTTTCCTAAACATAAAAACTGAGACCCCAAACTTGTTACCTATGATTACAAACCTCCAAGAAAGACATTTTCTCTACCAGAAGTCCAGTTTCCTTATTTGTGGTTATATATGGATTTTCTTGTAAACACTATGGGATAGCCCTCAATGGGCTCTAGTTCTAGTCTAAGCTTTACACGTCAAGGCCTGGGGTGATGAGCACCCCCACTCCTTCCCCTGACAGCCCCGAGCTACTGTGCGGTCTTACTACTGGGCTCTCTGCCCCTCTTGCTTTCAAACTTCTCAGCACTGCATGTTAAAGCACACACTTGACATACTTCCCCTGATGGTTGAAGTGTCGGTGGGATAGAGTCCGCTGTACGTGTGGCTGGAACAACTCCATCCTTAATTCTAATCACTCTCATGGATCATGGGACAACAGAGAGGGAACAGACACGTTTAAGAATATAATACATGTGGTTGAAGACAGGGAGCAGCAAGGATGCATTTCTTTAAAAAAAAAAAAAAGACTTTAGCACGATAATACAACACAATTCAGACAAAACTATGAACCAGGCTGACATGAGGAAGGACCCATAGCACAGGCTCGGGGCGGGGGGTGTTAGATGTTTATTAAATCAAGCTTTTCAATTATCTCTCCACCCACAGTCTGTAAACAAAGGCAGCGCGCACGTAAGTAGAAGGGTGAGAGCTCAGGACGAGTGGAGAGGATGAAGTTTCCTTTGTCCGCCGGCACCTCCCATGGCAGCCTTCCTGGGCCAATGGCGCAGGGCCACGCTCTGGTCGCCAGTCAGGGCACATCAGGAGGGTGGATTCTGAGCCCCTCTGAGGAGGGGGGTCGAGACGGGTCTTCATTTCACTGGAGAGGTCACTGGATCACAGCAAGGCAACCATGTTGGTTTACATTCACTGATTGTACACATGAGGTCTGCTCGCTAATGTTTTCCTCTCTAGTGCCATAACTTGTAAAACTGTGAACTAAAATAAATGACAAACTACAGGTGGTTATAAAAATAGATAACTCAGAATAACAAATATCTAAAATTAGCAGAGCACAGACTTTAAAAATTGGCCTTCACAGACTTTAAAAATTGGCCTTTTTCCCTAATGTGCGTAATTTAGCAGGATGTCCAAGAGGTACCTTCGACAGACATCAGTGGTAAGACAGCATTGGTAAAGAAAAAAACAACAACACTCATGTATAAAACCCAGATTCAGATAAATGCAGACGTCCAACAAGACACATAAAATCCTAATTGCTCCTATCTAATTACTCTACTTAATAGACACCACAATTAGCTTACAGCCCTTTATGTACAGGCAGTCCCTGGGTTATGAACATTCAACTTCCATACAACCCATCGTTGCAAACCAAACCCCATTAAGTCGATTATATTAAAAATGGAAGTACATACAATGTCTCTTAATAACAAATGAGCATTACTTTGCAACAAGCGTTGGAACATTATTATTACAGTATTATTACATGATAGACATTTTGGTATAACTGGAAGAATTTCTTTTATTAATTTTTATGCATAGAAAGGTATCCTATATACAAAGACAACGATTTGACTAAATGATGTTGAATGTGAACCGTAGCTACATGTTACTACTTACATAGAAACTCGGCTTAATGATAGATTTAGGAACGGAACTCGTTGGTAATCCGGGGACTGCCTGTACCTTAAAAAGTAACACTTTGCTACCTGTGTACAAACCTTAAAAACGATGCACCCTCAACAAGCAAAAGTTGATTAACAGTGGCACGAGAATGGCTGAGACCCGTAGCATCGTGTGTGCTTTGCGATAATTCTAGGTATGGGGCTAAAATGTCCCCCAAATGTTTTGGTTTTTTCGTTTTTAAACGTCCCTCTTGCCCCGCCCCAAATGTATTCTACAATCATTTCAAGTACAGAAAGGGAAAATTCACCCCAGGAAAATTACAAAAAGGTCAAAATCTCACAAAGTGACTGGAAACCCATAAACGCATGAGTGACATTTGAACGTCCCCTTATCACGTATCAAGTGCTCTCGTATGGCACGTGTGTCCTGCCACCTGCAGCCAATCTCACTCCGGAAGGTGCAGTCCCTCCTGTGCTAACTCCAGAACGGCAAGTGCGTGTGAGCTTCGGCGAGGTTGACTTCCATGGGGTGGGACCTGACAGGTCACCTCACAGCTCACCTCGGACTCACAACCGACCTGAGCTGTTAACGTTCTGAACGAAAAGCCCCACGGGGATCCATCGTACTGTCTCTTGGGGAGAGCAGGCACCTGTCTGCTGTCCCCGAGGTCACCCTCAGCCCAGAGGGGTGTTCCCAAGTTGCTGATCCTGGAACCCACTCTCCTTGCTGAAAAATCCACCGGCCAGTGTGTTTGGAACTTGCTGGGTGTGATGGGATTTGGGATTAAACAGATGCCACTGATTAATGTTTTCAAGGTGCATTGGACCCCTTCTCGGGGCGGGGGTAGGGGAGGGGACACAGATGCGGCTCTTCCCAAATTCCCTTGGCCTCTCAGGGAGCACCCACTGGATCGCACAGCACCCATTTACTATGGAAATGCTAATCTAGGGTCAGTAGTGGTTCTCACGTTTTAGTGTGTGTCAGATACCCCTGGGAGCCTTTGTAAGGCAGAAAACCCATACCCCACTTCAGGTCTGGGGGGTGGCCTGGGAACAGGCACTTTTTAATAGATGCCACGGGAGGCGACTGGGGCTGAGCGGGGGCCATGCTGAGAGCGTAGCTGCAGGAAGCCCTCCTGGAGCTGCGAACAGGTCTGTCTCAGGGACTAAACTGGAGGTGCCGTCAGTCCTGTGACACCGGGTCCTGGTGCCTCGGTGGGGTTGAAGGGCCCTGGACCAGACCTGGTGGCCAGGGCTCTACCTCATAAGAAGGGCAGCAGCCCCTCTCTGGGGACCTGCGAGGCTTAACCGAAACACCTGCAGGTATCACCAGCATAATCCTAATCACATGGCAATCACACGTCAGGGAGCAAGGCCCTGTCTTCTGCTGCTGCCGAGTCTGGAAGTGCGTGCTCGCCGTGAGCGGCGGGAAGCAGCTACAGGTGCAGACAGCTGCCCGGGCGGAGTCCAGAGTGGGAGCACTGACTTTAAAAAGATCTGGTTTTGTTTTTGAAAAAGAGACCAACCCACAATCGACAGAGTAAGCAATGCTGGCTTTGAGACTGCGTTGAGAAGTTATTAGCCTGGTGATCTTTGTATACAACCCTCCCCCCTCCACCCCCTCGTGTTACTGCTGGTTACGTTTAACGGCCAGAAAATGAGCACAAGATGCTCCCCCACCCCCCACCTCAGATAAACGCATATGAAACCGACCTAGAAAAGTGCAGCCGGGATTGGGACGCTCATGAGCTACCGCAACGCCAACGTTTCTGAAGCAAAACATTCAAAAGGATCTTTGTCGTTTGATTCATAGAACCCCCCACAGAATGCGGCCTGGTGGAGGCCGGGCAGGTGAGTGTTCGCACGTGTTTAGATGCTGTTCGGTGCCTGAGTCGAGGACCTACCTGCCTCTCACCGTTCAAAGTGAACCCAGAGAAACTCATCCACATCCTGAGGGGATTAGCCCTGGGGATACCTTCTTTTTGCCAGAGTCCTGTTTGCACCTGCATGGAAAAGACTTGATGGGCGAGGCAGAATGTGCCCGACACAGGCCTGCTTCTCTCTACAGGTGTTCTGGGTGGCACTGGAGACAGGACAGCATGTCTTTCACGGGCTTGCCTTCATAGCAGATCTGATACACTGCCGTAAACAATGGAAACCTGGTTGGGAAGCAAAAAAAAGAGCAAGCTCAGACCATCTGGCTTAGGTTGTGGAAGAGCTTGGTGAAACAAATCGAACCCCTCTCCATGCCTGTATCCTTTATCCTGCAAAGCGCTTCTGCCCCGTGGCTCTGAGCTCTGGGTACAGCTCACCCTCTTTCTGACCCAAGGGTGGGGCGCAGGACCTACAGCTCTCAATCCCACTGCCATTGAACAGTCACTGTGGGTTTCCAGGGCTGTACATCTTTACAGGAGCAAAGAGCCTCTTCATCCTTCTCCCCTGGAGTGGCTGCTGGGCTTGAACTGCAGACCTTGCGGTTAGCAGCCCAATGCATAACCCACTATGCCACCAGGGCTCTAGACCAAGTCCTGTAGGAATCCTTGCAGGGGAATCGGTGGTCATCTGCAGAAGGAGTTGGGCGCCTGGCCAAGCCTGAGTGCCAGTTTCTGCCACTATATTAAATGGTTTGCAGGGTAGATTTAAAATTGCATGGAGGCAGGCTCCCCCTTTCTCTAGAAAGGAGATCATGAGGCAGCCTGCACAGCACCACATGTGAATGTGGAGAGACTCACA